TTCACTCTATGGTTTAACTCCACAAATATCATGTTTTTGAAATTATTGCTCTTGCTCAATTATAATCCCAAAATAGGAACTCAACATTGCATATACTGCGATGTGAGCATTGCAGACGCTTATATTGGGATATTGATGCTGTAGCGATGTATTGTCAGCCCTAATGATGGTATGTGCATTAATGACAGTCATGAGGTATAAAAAGCTTTCTCACCTCTTTTTCATTTATATTTTTATATTACCTCTGAAATAAAAATGATTAAAGATCTATTTAATACCAAAATAAAAATTCTGTCATTTACTCATACTCATCTCATGCCAAATTCACGAGGCATTCATTAATCTTTAAAACACAAATAAATATATTTTTTTTTAACAAATTTGGGCAATATCTTTCCACCAGTTGAATGTCTGTTAACCTAAAACATTCATAAGGAGATAAATAAACATATAAATAAATAACACTTTGCAGTTGAGTTCAAGGCTTCTGAAAAGACTGTTGCTTTATATGATTAAAGAATTTAATGAAGGCATTTATTCACAGTGAGCAATGTTTACAGCATTCATATGTGGTCACAGAAGGTCAAGCATGCTTGCTTGATGTGCAAGAATCAGTGAGATTCATTCTTGCGTGTCATGGGGCTTGTTAATGTCTGCAAGAACCGGTTTGTTCTTGTGCATTATAAGCAGATATGGTGAGCTTCTGTTTAGGTTCCCTAATCAAAGACTGAATTGAATCTATTCATCAAATAAAGCGTTGCCTCTTCAGAAGCTTCAGTTAAACTGCTTGATTTATATATCATAGACTTATTTTTGATCTCTTTATGAACATTTAGGACATTCATGAATATTCAATGGACAAACTGAAGTCTCTTATTAATTTCATAATATCTTATATAATATCTCAATATGAAATGATGAATTAGCATTTTGGGGTGAACTGACTCCTTAATCTTGGAATTCATGAAGAGGGTAAAATTGGCCTGATGAGCTGTGCATTTTTCAACAAAGTATTGCTTGATATTCAACAAATTCATTTTTATGTGATTCTAGAGAAAATGTGGGAAGTCACAGTTCAGACAAGTGCTGGATGATATGACCTAAAATCAGCTTGAAATTGGAGTCATCTTCTAAAAATGGTCAAATTTGTCATCGTTTTAATGAATAAATTTTTTTTCAAACCAAAAAATTTAATTATTTTTTATTTCATTTACAATTTTTTTTAATTGAATTGAATTGAATATTTCATTGTCAAAAGTTGGAAATTACCAGCATCTCTTGCAAGCAAAGCTAAAGTTTTAACAAAACATCATTGAACTAAATATTTCCTATTTAATTATTTTAAATGATAGAACTTGGTAATTCAAGTTACCAAGTGGGTGATGCTTGACAGGGTATAGCTCAGTAAAAAATAAAAACTAATAACTAATTTCTACTAATAATCAATCAGGTTTCACAACATTAATGACAGTTTCTGTGTCTGCTCGTTTTATTTGCTTAAGTGAAAATGCAGATGATACAGTTTAAGTCAGGATTATTAGCCTCCTTTTGATATATATATATATTTTTTTTAATATTTATTAAAGGATGTGTAACAGAGCAAGGACATTTTCACAGTATGTCTGATAAAAATTTTTCTTCTGGAGTAAGTCTTATTTGTTGTATTTCGGCTCGAAAAAAAAGCAGGTTTTAATAATAATAAAAAAACAAACATTTTAAGGTCAATATTATTAGCCCCTTTAAGCTATACATTTTTGATAGCCTACAGAACAAACCACCATTCTACAATGACTAGCCTAATCATCCTAACCAGCCTAGTTCACCAAATTAACCTAGTTAAGGCTTTAAATGTCTCTAAAGCTGTATAGAAGTGTCTTGAAAAATATCTAGTCAAATATTATTTACTGTCATCATGGCAAAGAAAAAATAAATCAGTTACTAGAAATGAGTTATTAAAACTATTATGTTTAGAAATGTGTTGAAAAAAATCTTCTATCCGTTAAACAGAAATTGGGGGAAAAATAAACAGAGAGACTAATAATATATAATTCTGACTTCAACTCTACCTGTGTGCGGGACCAAGGACCTTTGAATTGCAGTGTTCCTGTCCAGTTAAACCAGCAACAAAGAAGATTTACCTGACGTACGATGAGAGATGTCAGGTTCCTCCCATGCACTCATAAAAATGTCAAAACATATGTGAAAACTGAAAGTGTTTTTAAAAGGGAAGTATCATTCAGATTAAAAAACAAAACAAATTAACCGACATGGGGAAATTACGTCCGTTATAGGTTATGAATTTTGGATTTGGTTTGTTTTTGATTAATCCTCCAGCTCTAGTTCAGACCAGAACAATTGTTAATACACTTTTTTCTTTGCCAGGCTCTGCTTTTGTAAAGGAAAACATTTTCAAGCCTTCTCCCACAATCATTTTGTATTACTTTGATGCAAATCAGACTTTTTCAGATCATGCAAGTCTCACTCAGATTTGACCTTGATTGCCACATCATGTAGGATTTCTTTAAAACAACGCATTTAAAATGGTACATCTGAACGTATAATTGCAGTGTTTTAAATTTTCATATGGTCAGAAATTAATATTTTAAAATTAAAAAACACTGTGCAGGTCAGATATGCCTTATCATATTTTTTTTTGTAATTTCATCATACTGTATGTGATTGCTGTGCAGCAACTGCTGATGGTGTCTATTGCAAGTGCCAAAATGGGTGTTGCAAATCCATTTGTCCCTTCTGTTGAAGTAGTGGGCTACATCCGAAATGGTATGGTCCATCAGTTTACTGGCAGGGATTGGTTGTTATGGATACAGCATCACTGATTGTAAAGGGTTATATTGATACATTTTTTTGCATTGCTTTGCTGTATCTGGCGTAAACATGTTATCTTACTATTTGTAAATTTCACATTAATTTATTTTTCTGATGTGGATTTGTGGGTTCTCACACTTTACTGGCAGAACCATCAATTTGTCTATGTTTTTCTATGGGTCATTCTCTAGTACTGTATAAATTGGATGTATTTATCTACTGTACAGGAGAGTAACTTCCACTAGGCACAGGGAGGACATGCCCCAGTGCCACCCCACTTTCAAAATCCTATTTGTGTGCTTTCAACCTTATGATTTTATATCCGTGTGGCGCTGTCACTGTGGATGCACAGAGAGAGTCTGTGTGTGTCAATATGTGCATCCGCATCCAATAAATTTGTGTAAATGCTCTAAAAATAACTTTGTTAAAGTTCTGATGAGTAGATATAGCAATTAAAACAACTGTTTCACACAGCAATAAAACAGCAAGCTACAACAGATGACTTTGACATCCATGGATGAAAAAAAAAGATGCAAGTTAGTTGGTTTCGTATAAAAGCTCTGGTCAGAAATATCCTATTTTCTGTTAGACAGAATATGTCTACACCTTTTGAGGTTCATCTAATGTTTAGGAATTTGTGCTGCACAGATATTTTTATATAATTTGCCTAACAATGAATTTTGCAGATGTCTATTTGCAGTTGATATTACAAAATAGTGATTCAACACACAATTCATTTTTTTGTCTTTCTTTTTAAATTTAACAAATTAGTTTAAAATTAAATTGGTTTATTCAGCCTATTTGTTCCTGGGCATAATAATTATATTAATAATAAGCAGGATCATTGAGAGGTCTAAAAAGTTGTCTTTTGCCTAATTATAGTACACTATCCCTTAATACCCTCTCCCCTTTTTCAATTTTTTTCAAAACTCCAAAAAGAAGAACTAGAATATAAAGTATTGTTTTATTGAATTACAGTTTAATTGTGCATATACACATATGCCCCATATATCATAATATATTCAAGGTATGAGTATACCCTGAATAATATCTCTGTATAAACTGCCACAGAATATTGAAAAATTTCAGTGAATGTTCGTGTATTCAGTGAAGCATGGGTTTACTCTTAAATCCTTTTGGAGTAGCAAATGCAGTGTCTGTGATTGTGGTGTAACAACATACTCTGCTACATTGACAATAAAGCAAAACTGAGAAGCCTGAAAACACAATTTGAATTTTATTTTGAACTGTACTATGTGTTATATTGCTAGGGAACAACCACTACTCGCAATGTAAAACCTTTATCTTTCTTTGTTAAAACACAAGGAGATGCTTTAATAATATTTACTGTTGAAGATCTCAGCTTTATAGGATCTGTGTCCGAATTAGGTTCAGCCTGTATTAATCCATGACTTATGGTTATGCTCGCGATGTGCATAGAACTATTTCATCTACCTTAAATCATGTCTGGTGGATGTAATTCCATTTTAGTTACTAATATTTTTAAGGTTGTTGTCACACTCTAAAAAAAAATTCCGTAAAAAAACGGTAAAATGTACTGGCAGCTCATTACACAAATATTTTACCGTAAATTAAAAACGGAAAACTTCTGTTAATTAACAGTGTGTCAACATTAAAAAAACTAAAAAATATCCGTTTTTTGACAGTTAAACTACTGTAAAATAACCAACCATTTTATTGTAATTTAAGGGTTTTCTATATAAAAAAACGGTTATTTTCTGTGTTTTTAAGGGTATACCAACAGTAAAAAAGCGGAAATATTCTGTGTTTTAATAGTATACCTACTGTAAAAAAACAGACAGATTCTGTGTTTTAATAGTATACCTACTGTAAAAAAACAGACAGATTCTGTGTTTTAATAGTATACCTACTGTAAAAAAACAGACAGATTCTGTGTTTTAATAGTATACCTACTGTAAAAAAACAGACAGATTCTGTGTTTTAATAGTATACCTACTGTAAAAAAAACAGACAGATTCTGTATTTTAATAGTATACCTACTGTAAAAAGAGGACTTTTTTGTGTTTTAATAGTATACCTACTGTAAAAAAACAGACAGATTCTGTATTTTAATAGTATACCTACTGTAAAAAGAGGGGTTTTTTGGGTTTTAATAGTATACCTACAGTGAAAAAATAAACAGATTCTTTGTTTTAATGGGATACCTACTGTAAAAAATAATTATTTTACTAATTTAATGCTCTTCAAGCAGCATAGAAATGGCAATTGGTAAGGACAAACATATACATATGGGAAATACACTATTAAGGGTTTACAATAGTAAAACAAAACATTTATTCTATACTGTATGTGTAGAGAAGCAGTACATAGCTTGTTATCTGTGAACTTACAATGATTAGTACAAAAACAACTTTGCAATTAAAACAGATTCTTTAATGAATACAAATCATTTGAATTCCAAATAGCTAGTTATACACACAATAATACATATTGACATGTGAATCGCACAGTGAGAAGTCTTGGCAAATAATCTCATAGCAAATTAGTTTTAAATGTTAGCTTTAAGATAATTAAGGACAAGTGGGCAAATTACAAGTACTTTACATTAAGAAACCAGGTTAACTGCAAGATGGCAGGAAACAGACGAAATAACTGGGTCTTCTTCCTCTCCAATACTGATACTTCAATGGCTGTAAAACAAACAAACAAAAAAAAATATTACTAATGACTTTTCACTTACAACTGGGGTGATTCCTTGCATGTCAATAGTTCTGTTAATCATTGACTCTACATTAACAGATGTTAGTAGTTGGTTTTAAATACAGCTACAAATGCTGTAATCTTGACTTAAGCACATTTATAATGTGCTTAATAATTGTGTTAACAAACTTTAATGATTGATTTTACATGACTATTTTTATAATAAAAAATAATAAAAAAATAAAAATAAATAAATATATATACATATATATATATATATATATATATATATATATATATATATATATATATATATATATATATATATATATATATTATATTGCATTATTTACAAAATCCTTCCAGTTTGGTGGCCTAATCTAAAGTGAGGATTATTTATGATTTATAAATCCTTATAAACGACAGTTAAAGGCTCAGTAATAAATTAACAATAAATCATTACAGTCTTATCTAAAAAATGTAATTACTGTAAATATGAAACCTTGCTGAATAGCAGGAGTGCCAAAACATAAGATAAAACTGGATAAAACAACAATAAAATAATTTAATGATATATTACGATGCAACATTTCAGTGTTATTTAGCTAGGTTTAAACTGTACAGTAATTTTATTTTAGATCAGATTTATTTTTCATTTAATACAATAAAATGAATTTCATTCTTAGAATATAACTGAACCTTTAATTGTGATTTATAAGGGGATTTACAAAGCATAAACAATCCTCACTTTAGGCTACAAAACTGGATGAAGTTAACAAAAGCACTTATTAAAATAAGTATTGTATATACTTCATATACTTATTTTTTTATACTTTATATACAAGTATAACTATTACTATTCATTCATGTATTTTCCTTCAGCTTAGTGTGTACTCGCACTATGTACAGTTGCCTTGAACCAGGCCGAAGCACGCTTTTCCTCCCTACCGTCTCCCCTGACGTCCCGCACTCACATTGCATTCGAGCCTGAGCACTCTTACATCATCGATGATGCACCGTTTAGTTTAAGAAGTGCTCTCTCTCAGCACAGTGGAGAATTCTTAAATTATTTTGTTTTAGTCGTTTGGGATGCAGTAACACGAAGTCAAATATTTCGCCGAACAGATCAGCCACTTTTGATGTTCATAAATTCCTTGTGCTGCAGGAATAGGAGGTTTGCTAAAGGCGCAGCTGTGGTGCAGTAAAGGGTTTGCGTCTTTAACAATTAATGACAGTTTGCGTTCATTGAACAGTAATAGTGGTTAATTTATCCAAATCAAACCGTCCCTTGCAAACTGTCACAAAAGACACAAACCCCTCACTGCACAACAGCTGCACCTTTAGCAAACCTCCTAGTACCTGCAGCACGATGACTTTGATTGTTTATGAGCGTCAAAAGTGGCTGATCTGTTCGGCGAAATATTTGACTGCGTGTCACAGCATATTAAACAACTAAAACGATATAACAATATAAAGAAATCTCCACTGTGCTGAGTGAGAGCACTTGTTAAACTGAACAGCACATTATCGATGACGTAAGCGTCGGGGAGACAAGCACGCTTCCAGTTTCAAGGTAACTCTGCATAGCATGAGTACGCCCTTGGAAACACCCATACACACTTATTTACAAACACACTCATACACTACAGCCAATTTAGTTAATCAATTTCCCTATAGCGCATGTCTTTGGACTGTCGGGAAAACCTGAGCACCCGGAGGAAACCCACGGCAACACAGGGAAAACATGCAAACTCCATACAGAATTGCCAACTGAGACTTGAACCAGAGACCTGCTTGCTGTGAGGCGACAGTGCTAGCCACTGAGCCACTGTGCTGCCCAACTATTACTATATGCCTGAATAATAAGATATTTAAATGTTAGTTTGAATAGTTTATTAACCATTTACTTAAACATTCTGAATGATAAGAAAAAAAAATACACCAACTATTCTTAAATCACTGGTTTGTAAATAATGCGATACTAAATTTAGAATGAAAAATTAATCATTAACAAAATATGAAAACAAAATAATTAAGCACATTATAGATGTGCTTATAAGTCAAAATTACAGCATTTGCAGCTGTAGTTATAAACTGTATACTAAGGTCTATTAATGTAGAGTCAATGCTTAACAGAACTTTTTGCTAATGCTTAATAAATTAATCAATAGTGTTTAGTTATTATAAAGTGTTACCGGTGTGCTTAATTACCTTTAAATCTTCCAAGGATTCTGAAAGTCTTTCTGGTCTGACAGGAATCGAAGGAGTTTAGATGGTATGTTTCTGCTTGGTGCCCTTTTCTCTTCTTTGGATCTACGTTCTGGATAGTTACTCAGCATGCTCCTGTTGTAGATACAACAAACATGTATCACCTAAACTTAAAAATGTAAAAACATACCTTCATATAAACTACAGAGTCAGGGCTGCTTCCTTAGGCTACATAATGTTTAGCACATAAGAGACTAAACATGTAGCTGACCACAATTAGGAGACAGCTCAATGATCTTGTTATTGTGGCTGTGGACTCTTCTTCTGAAAAAAAGAAAAGAAAAGTGAGTTGTGTGTTGGGTCTGGTACACGCCCACATGGAAAGAACCTATATAAACATATGGTTTAATATAGGTTTTTGATATATGTGACACATATAAAATTGGCTGTTTTCCTATATTATATGTACATATATGGGTACATATATGCACACCTATATGTTAAATTATTAATATTATTGATAATATTATAAATAATATAATTATTATGTAAAATTATTCAAATACATGTCTGCTACATAATTTAAAAGAAATTTTTAAAAACTTATTTACTTAATCAAATATTACAAGAAATAAATATAGTGCAGAAACAAAAATAAGGCAAAAAACAACAATAAAGGAAAGAAAACAAAATAAAAAGAACGACAAACCATTTTGTTATACTTTTTCTTCCTTTCCACTATCTTTAAGCAAGAAAGAATTGACCTTGCAAATGTTTCAGGAAAACGTGTAGACATCATAGCTTTCCATCTCCTCTCACTTATTTGCCATAGTTAAATTCCATAACATGCCAATTACATGTGATACCAAATTCAAGTGGCACATTCATAAGTTTTTTGCATTTTTTAAAATGAGTTCTTTTCCAGATAGCAGACCTAAGTTAAATTAACATTGAAATGTTAAAACATCAATCAAACTATCATTGAAACAATGTTAAAAGTCATCACTGATTTTTAGGCAGTTTTCCACCCTGAAATAATGTTAATTCTATGATGATAAATAGACAAAACTGTCCCAAAACCAGCATTTATTCAACCAAAATTAAATCATTTTTTACAATGAACCCAACATTAAATAAAATGTTGAATCAACCACACTATCATACAATTAATGTTAAAATTTAAAGTTGATTTTTAGCCAGTTTTGCATCCTGAAAAAATGTTATTACAATCACGATAAATAGATTAAACGGTCACAAAATCACCATGAAGGCCTGGCCCACCATCAAGATGCCTACATTGATAATGTCTTTCTCATCATCAGGTGGCTAAGAGAGAAAAGAAAAGAGATTCAGCAGTGGACCAGTTATTTCCTTATCATTTTAAACAGACATAACCAAAATAAAGAACTTGTAACATTTTAAATGTTGTAAAAACAAATAATAATAATAATAAATAACTGCTTTGTTCATTTAACAGATTACAGTTGCAGCTTAAAAAACCCCAGATAAAACACCCACATCAACCCAGTACTTTTAGTTTGAATACATGTTAACAAAATTTCAAAATTACTGAAGCAAAATGTGTTCATGTAAACACTTAGTAAAAATATAGGTACAAGTAATTGGTTTTGCCAAATAATAAAAATAAAAGCATTAACATCAAACAAAAACGCTGAACATTTTACCTCTTAAACTTTGCAGTTTACTGTCATCCCCTGAATGAAGTACAGATGGTCCAGCACAACTGCCTGAGTTCTGAAAGAGCAAACACATATTTTTTTGTATTATTTATAAAAATGCAGTACTGACCAGTCAGCATCAATTTCTACACCAACACACCTACAACAAAAATAGCACTCATTCAGTTCGAAACATGCAACATGTAGTCTACTGTTATACTTTACAAACTTTGTGAATAATAAAAAAATGAAAACATTTAAAACCCCAGGTGTATTTTATTTCATTTGTCTATATCAATTGAAATTTAGTTTGGATTGAACGTAAGATTTAAGATTTTTATTTAGATTGCTGTGAAAATGTACCTGTACCTTGTACTTATAACCAAAATGACAGAACCTGGAAGTCAACAAAGCAAAATATCAGTGAACCTTATATATACACAAAACACTCAAAATCAAACAGAAAAAACGCTGAACATTTTACCTCTTAAACTTCAAAGTTTACCGTCATCTCCTGTATAAGGTACAGAAGGTCCAGCACAACTGCCTGAGTTCTGAAAGAGCAAACACATTCTTGGTAAAATTACAATAGATGCAATGCTAAATATAAATCATTGTTTATTTTTTTGGTTAAAAAATGCAGTACTGACCAGTCAGCATCAATTTTTACACCAACACACCTACAACAAAAATAACACTCATTCAGTTTGAAACATGCAGCATATAGTCTACTTTTAAATTTTACAAACTTCGTAAATAATAAAAATATGAAAACATTTAAAATCCCAGGTGTATTTTATTTAATCTGTCCATATTAATTCAGTTTGGATTAAATTTAAGATTTTAATTTAGATTGCTGTGAAAATGTACATGTACCTTGTACTTATAACCAAAATGACAGCATAAACATACAGCAAATCTTATATCCTATATCAGTGAACCTTATATCTACAAAACACTCAAAATCAAACAGAAAAACCCTGAATATCTTACCTCTTAAACTTGAAAGTTTACTGTCATCTCCTGTATAAAGTACAGAAGGTCCAGCACAACTGCCTGAGTTCTGAAAGAGCAAACACATTCTTGGTAAAATGACAACAGATGCAACGCTAAATATAAATCATTATTTTCATGGTTAAAAATGCAGTACTAACCAGTCAGCATCAATTTTTACACCAACACACCTACAACAAAAATAACACATTCAGTTTGAGACAGTCTACATTTAAACTTCACAAACGTCGTGAATAATAAAAAAATGAAAACATTTAAAATCCCATGTGTATTTTATTTAATTTGTCCATATCAATTCAAATTCAGTTTGGATTGAATCTAAGAATTTACCTGTACCATGTACTTATAACCAAAATGAAAGAACCTGGAAGTCAACAAAACAAAATATCAGTGAACATTATATGTGGAAAACACTCAGACTCAAAATCTACATAAAAAGATTTCATTTGTGATAACACCATGTGTAGTTCACTCTATTATCAAGGCTTCATTAAAATAAAACTCCTGATCTCCTAATAGTAATGAAAGTATTATTTGCTATGATTCTAACTGACAGTTAGTCTGAAGAATTTTAAGACTGAAGAACAGCTCATCTTTATATCTTCATATTAGCAGCTGTTGAGGTTCTTAAAAGTGAACTTGGCTGAATCTGCAAGTTGACAAGACGTTCATAAGTATAATATCCATGACAGTTCAACTCGACTACAACAAACATTTAATTGTGTGCTTTAAGGTACACGTTGTATTTGAGGCCTAAAACGCATGACAGTGTAAACACTATATACTTTTAAATGTCACACACTTACTGTACCACTCTGTTATCTCTGTACACACAAACACACGTCGCGAAATGCGGAAGTTTTTTTTTTCGTTCCATTTGGTGAGCGTTATTAATATAACACTCTCATCAGTTATTGCTTCGTATTTGCGTCTAATACCCCAGTTTGTCACGCGGGATGAATGAATGTTCATGAGTTAAAGTGAAACTGCCGAACTGCAGTTAAAGTCAGGCATCCTGCTGATTTGATTCAGAGGGGCACTTGTTTGTCAGACGGCTCACCGGTCAGGTATACATCCGCGCTAAACTACCAAAGTATGAAAGTCACCCAGCTCCCAACCCAACCTTGAGAATAGATTAACGGCGATATATTTTTTTATCGCGCGATAAAAGTCTCGCGTTAACGCAGCACGTTAATGCTGATAAGGGCCCACCACTAATAATAACTTTATGAGTGTGTATTTCCCCTCATACCGATTTACACAATGCCTCAAATTCACGCGGGTCTAACTAATAGCAAAGCTGTTCAGCTGAATCTCGGTCACACAGCCTTAATACGTCGGTCAAACCAAAGTTAACATTTGATAACGTCAGTAAAAATATGAAATTAGTTATTAATATGCAAACAAACACAGACGGTCAGGTGTTACGAGCGTTTGAAACACGTTAACGTTAGGGTTCATTCAAGGTAACGTTAACCAGTCATCGATATACACCTTCAGCACTATATATCAACCAAATTACACAGTGTCACAAACTTTGAATGCTATCCCTTGTTCAATGCACTGTACAAAGAAAACATTTATATTTCTATTAAATAATTAACATACCTTTTACACTCTCACAGACAAGCTGACGTTTTACCGTTAATCCAGTCAGACTCACGCAGGTGCAGAGGGAGTGAGTGGGACGTCACATCACTTCCCGCGCACGGCAGTTTAGAAAAATACGGACAAACAACTGTAAATGAACAGATATCATATTTACTGATGAGGAAAACGCATAAAAAGGTAAAAATTTATTAGATAAATGCTTGTTTAAATTACATTTAACCACTCATAGCTCAGTTTGAACTTAATGATATAAAGTCTGATCTTATTAACAATATTAAACGTAATTCACTGCTGTACTTTCCATGGCCGCTTCAGACAAGACAAAAATAATTTTAAATAACGATACAAATGTAATAAAGCAGTATTTTAACTAAAATATTGTTATATGTTTTATTAATCGTACTTACCAGGGAAAAACAGAGGAAGAAATATGTCCCGGTGTCCATCAAACGCTGCCTGAGCTGCGATCCCCTTCCCATAATGCAATTCAAAAATGTATATAAACGGAAAAACACCCGTAATACGTGTATACGGAAAAAATCCGTTAAAATATACAGTCATTTAACTGTTATTTTACAGATTTTTTTTACAGTGCAGCCTTATAAACGTATAACATATAGATCCACTTGTTTTACCTCTTTGTGTTTATTTTGCATCTTAGTCAATCAGCCCTAAAATAATACCCATGTTCATGGTCTCATTTGCATAATCAATCTGCAGTAAATCGAGTGCTAAACCAACGCAGTTAGCACCTGCAATGAAATGCAAAAAAAGCAACAACAAAAAACAAAACAACAACAACAACAACCAATAAATCAATAAAAAAATCTTAGTAAACCTGACCTTTATTTTTTCTGCCATAGTACTTATTTGGCATATTATTAACATAACAGGAAATATTACCAGTGGACTACAGATGATTAAGTGCTTTGCTGGTGATTCAGCTTAATTTAAAGCTCTTCTAAAAGCAATGTTCTGATATTTCTCAGCTTTGTCTGACAGTTAGATAACACTGAGAAAACAGCATTCCTGTAGAGAACTGCTGGCTTCTTCAAATTGCAATATTTGCTATTTATTGCAATATTTATGGTGATATGTTTGCTTGAGCAGTCATCAAAGGCTTAGTTTATGCCTCGTGCCAGAATGTTTTCGAGGATATTATATTTTAAAGTTGTGTGTTTTGGAGAAATCATAAGTTAGAAGATTTGTTTTTTAATCAGAAAATGACATTATATTTATTCCAAAAAAAAAAAAAATTTCTGTATTTAATCTTGTGTAAGGTCAGGTCTGGTCGGGTCAGAGCGAGGAAGTTTTACACTACGTGTTATCCGCTATGTAGATTTACACGGATGACTAATCCAGTACTGGATTACCACCACAACACCACACATACAGACAAACACACACACACACACACACACAAACTGGGTGTTATATCACTAATGATAGATCAGTAAATAAAAAACGTTACTGTGAAATAGTGTTTCCGTTTTTCAAACACAGATGCATATGGTGAGACGTGGCATATCCAGATGGTGTTAGCAAAACAGTACACATTAAATTACTAGTTCAGTTGTATTTTACATTTAAGTTTGACTTATAGTTTTGGAATCTGTTGTTTAGTAATTTTTCTTTACAAAGGATCTAGGGCTGCACAATTATGGCTAAAATGAGAATGAGATTTTTTTTTTGCTTAAAATAAAGATCACAATTTTCTCACGTTTCTGTAGATGTAAAAATGAAGGCTAATATGAGTAGCCTACAATTATTGTTATTTTTCAAACATACCGTAAACAACACAAATAATATTAAGCCTATGTGTGCTAAAATGTAAAATTTTTAATAGACTTAGAACGGTGAGCTTAAACAGACTTTAATTTGTCCTGTTTATTAATACAGTAAAAGTGATGCATTAGAATACAGATATTCATCATTTTGTAGTTGAATTATTCTGTTTGAGATATATGTTTGCAGTCTGTCATTGACAACATTATTAGACCATTTGTTTTCACTGAAAAAAATCAGACATTTGTCATTATCAGTTTCTCTCTTGCATTATTCAACGTTTTACTGGCTAGAGTAGTTACACTGACACTGTTAAACATTTATTCTCATGCACAACACTAAGTTCACTATGAAAGAAAAAGTGCTTGTTGAAATCATAATTCTAAAATGCGATATGATAATTTAATTCAGTGTTTCTCAACCACGTTCCTGGAGGACCACCAACACTGCATGTTCTAGATGTTTCATTTGTCTGTCACACCCATTACAGGTCTTTCAGTCTCTGCTAATGAGCTGATGATCTGAATCAGGTGTGTTTGTTTAAGGAGACACCGAAAATGTGCAGAGCTGGTTGTCCTCCAGGAATATGGTTGGGAAACACTGATTTAAATGATGTGTGCGCTTTCGGTTTCACTTTCAGTGCGGCTCATGTCATGGCTGCCGTCACTTTGCCTAAGAAAACTTGCATGCAAATTAGGTCTGGACGTTATGGGCAAAAAATCATATCTCGCTATTTTTAGGAGGAATGACAGTATACAATATATATGCGGTATTTTCCCATAAATGGTTACTTGAGAGTGAAAACCTTTATTAAAACTTTGTTAAACAGTTTTTAAATAAAATATAATTCATTTTCCTACCTTTTATTATAATCATTATAATTATCATTCTGATATTGTTGTTTGTTGAAAGAGTAGTTTGCAGCGAGATATTAAATAGAAAAAATCCTGTTTTTTTATTTACTTCTTTTTTTTTTTTTTTAAGTTTTAATAATTGTTTAAACCACCAACTGTTTGTACACTAGGCACACACAAATCAAATCAGGTCTTTCATTTATTCTGTTTAAAATAAATAAATCAATAAAACTAACTAAATAAATAAATAAATACAAATACAGTGATTAGAATATAATCAAAATTAAAGTCAATATACAATAACAGACCCGAATGCAGAGCTAAATGTTTTATAACCTAAATGTAAAGAAGAGACTGTTGTGTAATAAACAAACCCATGTGCTCATTTGTGCGTCTGTTTCGTGCAGAATGGGCACGAGGGGCCTCTAAACATATCGATATGAAAGTATTGGATAATCCCGCATCACGTTGGGGAATCATACCGATATATCCCCAGAACTCAACATACTGCTCAACCCTAGTGTAAATCATACTTCCTACGCGGCTTTCAAACGATCGGTCTGTACAACAAACTGAACATTATTTACAACTTCATTACCTGTTATTCACAGCCTTAGCAGTTTTTGTTCACACATCATTTGCGTGCACAGTAGCAAACAAGCTCACGTGTTATTCGTGGCCGTGAATATGTCATTAAACTCTTTCAACACTATTTGGAGGTGTCCACGTTGCTGAGTAATTTATGTAAAACAATGTGGAGACAAAAGCGACCTCCTTTATACTTCTTCCCGAACTTGAAAAAATAATTGGCTGAATTGTACAGATGCCGGATTAAGATCGTAATCTTTTTTTCGATTAATCTTGCAGCCCTAGGGCCTAGACATGAGATTTAGAAAGATGCTTGCTAAATAATTGAAAAGGAAAAACAAACATCACCCTTTACTAGACATAAAGACTCTATTTTGGATATATGGCAATATAGT